TCTTTACCCGGGCTTAGGACCGGCTAGTGACTAGTGAACTAGTTAACCAGGCGAGGTTTCGATAAGCTATGGATATGATAAATTTTCTTTCTTACCAAGGTATGAAAGTTTGTCAAATAGTTTTTCTATACATAATCAAGCATTTAAATTCAGTGAAGTGAATACTTTGTCACACTATTTAGTCAATAAAGAGAAACCGATGACACAACGTATAGGCTTCAGTGCTAATCAAATGCAACCAACCAACTTTGTAATCCAACTGTATATTCAAGGAGATTGTACCCAGTATCGAAAAGTAGAAAAGCATTTACAAGTAACTTTTACTATTAGTGCTTTAAGCTTACTGAAACATCAGCAGCAAGGTGTGCTACAGTGTCAAGGATACTCACATACTCCTCAGAAATCAAACCTTATATATTCAGTGCTGGCACCAAAATATCTATGCCAAACGATTGGGGCAACATAGTTTAGTATTGACGTTTGGTTTGTAACCTATACAACAAGCGATCATATATCATAGCTTTGGATCTACTTAAAAGTGAAAATGACCTAAGATTTGTACAGTTTATTAGGATACTAATAATGGAGTTAGAGCAGAATATTTTAGCTTCTAATTGGATGCAGGTTTTTGGAAAGATTGGTTAATAACCTTAAGAAAACCAATATAAACAAACCAAATTGCAAAGAATAAAAGTATGAAGATGCATTTTCAGCTGGTGATCAACAAACAAGTATAAGTCGTTTGATGTCGCAAATGCCTGAAATCAACCAAACTAAGGAGCGATTGAGAAACTACATTAGAAGATTTTGTTAGCTGAAAACGGACTAAAGTGAAGATTAGTACGTAAAGAATAATGTAGTATTTAATGTTATAGTTTACATTGCAGGAACTAAAGAAAAGTGATGAACTTTATGGTCACGTGAATAAAGAAAGAGAATTTAAAAATTGTACTTGTGAGATTTATTCAGAGTGTAGATGAAAAAGAGGCAAGCAATAAAAGAAAACAAGTATTTAAAGTAACCAAGATAGTATACGTTCGACAGCAAAAATTAGCCAGTCAGTAAAAGGTGACATTACAATGAAAATTTGAAATGAATTTAAAGTGACTGAAGCAGCATGAGATCGCAAGAGCTGGGTGTTAATGACTCCTACCAAAGACAGTGAGTTTGATGTTCATCATGTTTCATGTAGTATTTCATGTTCCTCCACATATCATGCAACTTTCTATTGGCAACCAACCAGACATAAATTTTATTTCCCTACGCTGCAAACGGAATACGCCGATGATGCTAACTGATTATCAAACTTCTCCCTATGTCAGGAGTAAACTTGAAACATCAGCAAAGCTGAAGTTCTAAGAGTGCAGCTCAGACAAAACAAAGTACAAGAATCAAATATAACACCTAAATTACTGATACAAATTCTCATAATACTCAAACAAGATATTTACCAAACACAGTATTATTGGATTAACCGAAATCGAATCATCAATTCTTTTCAGTTTTGAAATTTGAAAGTGTGACTTGTTGTCTCTGCTTTAAGGTGGGTTTGTTGGAACTTGTAGAACTGCTTTAGCCATTGTTTTCTTTGTTTAAAAACTGTGGTATTACCAACCATTTGTATAATAATTTTATTTCAGTGAGTTTCAGCAGTGAAATCCAGGGTACTTCTGTAAATTCTACTTAATTATACTTTCACCATACTGGACAATCGTGTTCGGCCTTGAACTCTAGTTGTAATTTGATCTCCATGACCTGCCTAATGTTGTACATGAAGTTACTAATAAAGCATCAGATCAAGAGAGTTTCTTGATTAATTCGTCGATAGTTTTTTGTAGAACTATTCTACAAAAGTTTAAAATGAGATCAAGGCATCTTTGAATACAGTCTGTTTTAAATAACCTAAAAATGAGTAGGATGAGTCGGCTAAAGTCAGGTTTGGAAATGATTTTCTTCCCCCGAACACAAGTTACAAATTAAACAAATGATTTCATTCGAACTTCTTTAATCCGTATCAATTCTTTCATTATGTTTTATCAATGGACTATGATCCCTTGGAGAAGTAAAATATGTAAATTGCATTTCTCCATATATATCTTATGATTTTATAACTTGAGGGCAGATGAACAGAAGGCAATGCAATACAATGAATTCATAGTATTCCGCTAAATTTGTTGTTTTAGCTTTGCTAAAGTTTTTGAAGGGAATGAATAATATGCAATGCAAATAAATTTGGTTTTCGAATTAACGCAGGTTGAATGTTATTTGTACCAAGAATATTCGTTTGGATGTTGATAAATCCACTGACAAGTCTAATATCCTATGAGACAGACACTTCATATTCCATCCTCTGTTAGTTATTTGAGTAAATAGAAAGAGTTCAAAAATTACTTTGAAGTGTAAATTTTATTTTAAGCTTGGTTAATTTCGAAGAAATCAAGTAAACATGGGTTGCTACATCCCGTTTACAGGTATCCATATGAAAACATTAACTTTATTTTGTTGGATTAGCTTTCTAAAAGAGACTTGTTGCATCAGCAGTAAAACAAAATAAATTTCAATTCAATGATTTAGAAAAAATCCTTCAACCGTAACAGATCCTTTTGCATACTAATTCCTAATGTTGATAATATTTCAGAATTATTTTCTAGGAGAATACGCTTATTCAGTTTTGTAAGTAGATGAATCGCTAAGTGAGTAGGGGTTACTAAATCTTTTGATATACATACTTTCCTTACGGTTTGTAAAGTATTTAGGGAATGTATTGTGGTGTGTCTAACTAAAAAACCAGCCTCTTTCTTCAAGTTATATGAACTTTTTTTAGTAACTGCTGCTTGAACAATGATAACTGGCTTTCTCTATCAACATTAATATTTCAGCTGGACGCCAGAAAATCAAATTAACATAGCACTGAAAATAAAGGGAGTTTAGTTTAGATATTTTACTCAATCAAAACTATTTTAAGTACATTGCACATTTATGTGTGTTCGTTTTAAAATTTTACATTTCAGCTTGTTCATTCACGAACATTTTCTTGACCAATGATTCTCTAGTCTTTTATATGCCCTAATACTTTGCAGAATCTATCAGGTTTTAGGAAAATTCAGAAATGTAAGTGCCAAAAATGATGGTTATGTTTAAGTCAGCTTTTTCATATTATTTTGAGTTATTCGAAGTCATCTTAAATCGTCAGAAGGTGCTATCGAAATTTCCGTTCTAGCAATAAACCATTCTTCGTTCACAAAATAGTCTTAGACTTCATGGTATGCATCGAAACTCATAGTAATATAAACTAAAAAATTCAACAAAAATTTTGTCATTTATACGAGCATCGATTCTAAGTATTTAAATACATTTGCTAAAAACGTATACGAAATGAAATGAAAATGTACCCAGTAGCTATATGCACGTTTATTCGGTAGGAAGTGAGTCACAGCTGTTTGAGGGCTAGTAACATTACTTGGCCGAGCAGACTTTGGTAGATGAAGCAGGGTTTAAACCCTTGGCCCATTGTTTAGAAGGGCTGTACCTAGACTAGTGAACCGCAGGTCTACAAAAAGCCAGACACTGAAGTTATGCACAATTTATCATCCATCAGTGAGGTGTGGCTTGTTACTTGAGGACCTCACTCAGCCCTTAAAAATTAATTCACATTGTTCATTCACAGAATTATGAATGTTACTAAGAGTTCTTGTGAACAAGAACTGTAGATGAATACAAAGAATATTTAATATCTATACAGTAAGGAAAATAAGACTTTTGTACGATGTTATGGAATAGAACGAAAGACAATTATTAGCAAAATTCATGATTGAAAACAATGCCTCTGGCTTATAGAAGGTTGCTTTGCTTTTCAGCATTTAGTTATGGATTTGTCCAAGTTTTATGCAAATGTAAATGAAAAACAATGATAGTTAGTAACATTTAAATCATTCTATTATGTAATGCAATGGGACAAAACACCACTCGGATGTTAAGCAGCTTATTTTTTCGCGATACAGCAAGGACGAAAATGAATTTTGCCACCTAAAGAAACTGCATACTTGTAACTCTCTATACCCAACTTCAAGTCTTAGTGATAGATATTCATGTCTTCGTAGCACATACGATTCCCCACTGTTTCAAGCTCACTTTGTTGGTCTGGTCCAATAAGCTTGGAAGTTGGGTTCAACGCTCACCGTCAGCCGACTATAAACAACTAATAACCAAGCTATAATATGTTATACAGTCTCATCATTTTAGATATAAATTAAAAGACATGAAAAATCAAAGTGATGTATTCAGTAATTAATTATTTTATTCTATGTAATGACGAATAAGTATTTTTAAGGAATAGCAGACTATATTTTCATCTTATAAGCACATAATGACTCGAAAAATGTTTCTTTTATGTTGACGTTACAAAATATCTACACCTAGGTGGTGAATCTTATACAAGTTGCATACAAACCATGGCTTGTATCTGATAACCAGGCTGTGATTGACATAAGGGTAGAATCTGGGTACTTTGATGGTGTATAGTTACATGTTAGTTTGTGTAAAATATCTAGCAAACAAATTTACAGGCTTTCAATTCTTTTTCCATATTCGTCATGCGTACTACTATTTTGAGTTGTTCTTACTAATTTCAAAGCGAATGATAAACATTGGTTGAGTGAACTGGACTAGGAACTATATTTTTTGAGCAAAGATTTCAATTTTCGTGTTTACGAGCGTAATATTGACGTATTGAGATGCAAATGTATTGTATATCATATGAGTCCCATGAGAATATATGTGAATGAGTTGCAACGGATAGAAAACCAATATTCTATCAAGTGATATACAAAACTAATAAAAATTCCAAAATGAAAGTCTCAACAATCTAACACTAAAAGTGTCAGTTTTATAACCGTCTGTTATTTGGCGCATGTATAACAGATAATTTTATTTTAATTTTTTTCAATATTAGTGAACATACTCATTCAGTTAAATACCATTTACTGAAATATTACTTTTACCTAAATCATTTTTATCTAGGATAGATAGAGATGAAGTACTCTGTATTTCCGTTATTGTGACCTCTTCAAAAGGCTTTTCATCATTTTTCTCCATAATTCTTTCATCCACGTTTGCGTCAGAATTATCTTCTCCGTTTTTTGGGCAATTTAACGGCTGATTACTTGTCGCATCATCGTCTTTTATGCTAATTGAACTACAACTCGGTTCTGAGTATTCAACTGGATTGTTAACATTGGTTCCCATTCTCATCATGGTTGGACTTGAAGAAGTTTGTCTAAAATAATTCAGTCAACAGAAGGGTAAATATTAGCATTCTTTAGCATACAAACATTTACGGCAAAACAATACGTCTACATTTTACCTGTAGAATGAACTGCCTATCCATCCTGAAAGAACACATGAGACAAATGTAAATATGATATCATTTGGTAACTGCAGGAAAATTATTTCATTATTTCATAAGAAGTATGTTTAAAAGTAATTCTATGAACTATGAACACATCATGTTTGAGGACATTATTTTAACTGAATTCCCAAAAACAATAAGGTAGATATATTGGCTCAGTGCTGAAGTTTAAGAAAAATCGGAAGATTTTGCTATGAAACTAAGAAGTTTCAACTTAGGACTATGGATCAATTCGGTATTAGTCTTTTCTATGAAAGAACATACACGTATATGCGCTATTTCAGTGGTGAAACGAACGAACTTCTCAAATATTTTGATAATAATTGACACTTTCATGATCTCGTGGACTCGTATTTTATTTTAGCTTAGCTAAGATTAAACTTCTTTCAATCTAGCATTAGGAATTCAGATAAATAATAACTCAATGTGCATAGCACATGTCACAGACAAAGGAGCTGATGCAGGTTCATGACTTAATTAACTGACTTGGCTTTCTGAACAGAATTCCACTATCAACCTTACCATTCCTTGTTCTATGATGGCAAAACACCACCAATACTTCTGCAACTGAATGAAGATGTAACCTGGAGCTTTTTTAACCTCTGATGATCACCATCTTGATGGAAACACTACATTTTGTCCATCTGTGTTACTATGTAAGATATAATTGCAACCGGTAGTTGCGATGACATAAGTATGAAAGAAGCTATTTCATGGAGGTGAAAACATTAAGATATTGAACACTACAACATTACCACCATTGACTGAATGCATCGATCTATTATCAGATGACTATGATAAACTTTATTTTGTAGTGAAATAATGAAGATAAATAGATAAACGAAACGCAAACAGCTTAGGAGAACAGATGAATGAAAGTAATTGGATTGAAAGGGCTCGAATTTAGTAAAATGTTTCAGAACCAAAATTCAGTTAACAAGCACATACATCTGAGCTACAAACATCATATTCTTGGTGAGTTGTAACGACTCTGTATTTCCGATTTTAATAAAGTATATTTTCAAATGAAAGATAGGAGAAAAAAATAGAGAGAACACTTATACAACAAGTGTAAGAGTGAATATTGTTTTAGATTGGGTGAAAAGTGTTTGACAAATTTGTTTATAGCGAGTGAACTGACATGCATTCTTTTTTTAGATTGAAACTTCAGTTATATCCACGTGATGCATTTTTTAAAGCTCAAAATGAGTTTATTTTTCGTAATAAAACTTTCATCATTCTTCACTTAGAAATTGTTAAATTTTTTACATCATATTACCAACAGAAATATGTAACTGAGTGGTATGTTTCAGCATTTTGTGGATTGTACAATTGTGCTGATAGTGAGTGGTTAATATACTTACACTGATAAACTGCGGCAAATTTGACCAGCAGCTACGTTACGTTTATCAAAAACTCGTTTAGTTTGTGATATTCTTCACATTAATCAACTTAGTCCGGAATGAAACCAAAGTTTGCAGCTTAGTTTATTAGACGGTAAATTACTGTATAGATATATTACTCAGCTTATACATATGAGACAATTGGGATGGGATTTGAAACTATAACTCATTAGTACAAATCAGAAGCAAAACATTACTGTTCTACTGGTACCTTTTATTGGGGCATAACTCAGAAACCAGTGGAAATGGTTGGCTGTTATTATTAGCCAATAGTTTATTCTGAATGATGATCCTGTCTTTATATATTTAGGCTTGAATAAATGTTTTAGCTTGATAGATTATTGATAAGTAATTTATAGGATGGACCATGCTGGTAATTTCTACGTTTCACTGATTCATAAGGATGAATGCAGCTTTCGAGGGTATTGTACACATGATTTAACTTCAAAGTTAAACTGATTATGTTCAAACTGAGAAACGTAAGCATCTACGAAGTTTTTGCTTTCAATTAACTTCATTGTATGTTTGACTATAGTTAACGTGTGATATGTATTGACTTATGCCTGTGAAACTCGTATCCAAAATTATAGATTATTTTGAAAATATAGTATGAGACTGCACAAAACTGAAACAAATATCCACCGTATTGTCAACTATGCAGAAAGTTTTCATCACCCATATTCTGTTTAGATCAGACTCAATCCAAGCTATACCCTGATGTAAACTGATAAAAATACTTTTCATAAGAACCAAATGTTTTTTCAAACGCTCAGGGATTATTCAAACTCTGTTCATTTAGTTTTCTTTTGACTGGAAAAAGCACTATAGTGGTGTCGTAAGTGCGCCTTGATGAATATTTCCATACTGAGGCGAAACAACTGCCCAGGGTTTCAAAATTTTCAGTGCTTCTCCAACTGAATTTAGTCTACGATAACTGCTACTTTGGAATCATTTGATCACCATAAACCTCCATAGCGAATTAGTCTGGTACACATAAAGCAAATGCTTCGGGATGAACATACAAAATTCTAATGAGAAGTCATGGCCTGAGCAGTTAACCAAGTCGGATTTCAAGTAGAATACTAGCCTACGGTATTTAATGATGGTCATGCTGTATTGTGAATTAACAGAAGTAAGAAATTATGGACTATCTGGTTCCGATCTACTGGCACAGTAGTGACTTGATCGCTTCAAGACTTGACGGTCCTTGGTTAAATCCATGTCAGGGTTGCAGGTATGCATAACAGAAGAGACCCGTACTAAGACAAAACAGTTGTCCAATGCTACAGGTTTTCATCGGTTCTCCAAATGACGTCAGTTCTTGAAAAACACTACCTTTAAATAACGACGATTCGTAGTAGTTATTTTTTCGATTAGGAATGTTGAAGTGCATAAATTGTAACACTGTGGCCACTTAAACAAGAGCCTAAAGGCATGAACAATATTCCCATAGAAACGTTTTCCGATTTTTCGCAATTTAAACTTTTCACCGCACAAATCTAGTATTACTCTCATTGAGAACATTGAATGTTTTGTTGCACATCCAGGGTTTTGTATAATGCTGTCGAGGTGCGACAGTGAAAATCTTGCTCTTCTCATCTCGTAACTGTTTTCCCTGTTTAACTAGTAATGTGTTAAAGCTCATCTAGCTTTGAATGCAATACTTTCTGAGTATAGCCAACGTTCGTTGGAACAGCATTTCGTAATTTCAAAGCCAGTTACGACGCATTTCGCCTTAACTTCAACAGACATTCGAATTCATGTATATAACCGTTTATCGACCAAATTTATGATAGATAAATGCGGTTACGATGGTTTGAATTATCTCACATAGCTTAATAGTCACAGAAATCTGAACTAAGCGCATTTTATCTACAAAAAGCATAGTCAATCAAACTGCAAAAGTTAGTGAGAGGTGAAGAATGAAGTCGATGACTAACTTCACAGTTGGGTGATGGTCGTCCCAGCAGTCTTACTAAGGATTTATAAGAACGCAATATTTTTTCTAGCTATAACAAGATTTTGAGATTAGTAATTATATCAAGCTCGAAAGTAAAAAAACAATTTCCTGGTCTTTAAACTGCTTTAGCCACGAGATTAAACTGTTGATGAGTGGGTGTGTTAAAAAAAATAATTACATACCTTTAACTATGAGTTTTCAAAAACAAATAATTACCAACTGGTAACCATTTTCCCACGTCAACGAAAACCTTACAAAAATGGGTCTAATTATTATTTCACACTGATTGTTTGATTTTGTTCCATAACTGACAATTTCGTGAAAACATGTCGAACAATGATTAAGTCGTTAAGGTAACATTATGTACCACATTCAAGAGAAAACATCTGATGCAACTTAGTGGCACAAATAAACACTTTTTTGATTTACAGAAAACTGGCTAAGAACGCATTTCCCGCGTTTTAATAAAGAGAACAACAGCTTTAGCAGAACAGCATGGATTCATTTTATTTCGCACTTTCTCATCAGCTGCTTACAACCCAAAAAATATTTATTCGTTGAATTCATGTGTTTTCAATCATGTCAGATCGATGTTATCTTTACTTCAGGCCAGCTATTTTCTATGAAACCGATTAAAGTATGCAGACGCTCATGTAAGTTGATGTTAAAATTGCTTTGGGTTGTAATCAGCTGATGGGGAACCGAGAAACATAATGTACCCATGCCATTCTGCTAAAGCTGTTATTCTCGTTCTGTGAAGGGGAAGAACTGTATGACATTTACCGTGTGTTATTTACGATGTTTAAGTACCATTTAACAAGAATTTCGCTGGATTTTTACTTAACTAAAAGAGAAAGGAATAATGAAAAGTTAAGCAATAAAACTAGAATTCACTAACAGTCGTATATTAAAATATGTTATACATATGGATTAGCTTGTATTGTTAAAATAGTGTTTCATTTAATCACTCTTCTTGCTGAGTTGAAGCTATTCATCAAGTAAACAAGGAGTACTTCAGAAACACTAACGTAATAATTGTGTGTAAAACATTCGCTGTAACCAACTGCTTACTGTTTTCCATTTACAACTGTCAAACATTACTTATTTGATCTGAGCTTATTATCCAGAAAGAGCATTTTAGTGTCATGTTGAGGATTTAAAATACTTGTGTTTGAATTGGATATTCAGGAAAATGAAAACAATATGTCTTAACTTTGCTGCACAGCTATATTAGAAGTCAAGAGGGATATTTATTTTATTGTTTGAAGAAAAGGTAAAAATGTACAAAAAAGCGTACAAAAAAGTTTGAAAAAGGGAATATACCTTGTTTGAGAGAAAAGAAGACAAGATTCATTGTTGTCCCTAGATGTGAAATGGAAATGATATAGCTATGTAAAAAGTGGCAAGTTAATGTCTTAACATCATTGACCAGAATGGACTGTGTCCGATTGCATCGGCGTATAAAATATCTCAAAAATATTGGGACTTTAAATAAGGTGCAACTCATCCCAGCTTAAAAAAATAATATGCTTTAACCATTTCAATTTACTTTTGGACGTATATCAGTGCAAAAATGGTTTTAAAAAGTGATGTAGATGCAGTTGTATTACTAAGGTGCTCAGCCAAGAATATAATTTTGTTGCTTATCAATAATTTTATTGAACAAAATTAAAGTATCTCCATCTAAAATGAGAGTTATTGCATAGCTGTCTCATCATACTTTCATAACCTTCAGTGTTACTATCTCTTTGAGATATTGCAGCCTAAAATCTTACAATCAATGATGTTAGTGGTAATAAAAGCCATTTTCCATGAAAATAAAAATCATGGTGTTAAATGAAGGACTATATAAAGTTGGAAAGTAACTTTTAGATTCCAAGGAAACGGTAAAAAGATGGATCTTTTATTCTGAAAGTCGAAGCTTTTCAGTACGTCAAAAAGCAACATGTTTTTACATAATTTATTGGTTATCAAACTTAGCTTATAACAAAACTCACGAAATTACTGTTACTTTTATGACTAAGCAAACTTACGCTCCACGTTTTGTGAAATACATAACGGATGGATCTCTGTAAACTGCAACTGTACGAAACTGATTTAAAGGGATTTGTTTACAATGATTTTCCAGCGGGTATTGTTCTTCATCATTTGGCTTGAATACAAACATATCTGTAGTCACTAAGATGATTCCAGAAATAGAATTCTACAAAAAAAGGTGCAGAAGGAGGAACAAAACACAATATGAGCAATTCAAGAACTATCAGATTATATCAACTGTAAGGATTACCAGTTTGCTCTACTACTACTTTAGTTATTAAAACAAGAATAAAACGAACCATTCTGCTTGATAGCTGTTGCAGGCATAAAACACTAAAAGAATGAAATTTTCAGTTTCTGACTGACTGATGGTCTTGTTTTCCATATCAAAAATCTTTCAAGTATAGGTAAGATTAGGAAGCTACAAGAATTTCATGTGATGATTTAGATAAATCTGATGAGTGGGAGGGTCTCCACATAGTGACGGGTATTCACAGTTTATTCCGCAGATATTCAGTTAGTCTTGTTAAGTTCGGCTTCGTTTTTTCTGAGTAAACTTAAACTACAGTTCAGGTGTCATCTTTAGTGTTGCTTACTGATCACGAATCCATATTCAGTAGCTCTTATTGAGGTGCAGAATGAGTTAACCGAGTTTATTGTTCTACTTTTAATCACCAATGCTTAACCTCTTTTTTCAGTAACACATTTTATACTATTCATCGTAGATCAACAAAGTAGATGCCTCGGTATGATGTACCAGAATTGAATCCAACTGACAGGCTGCGAAGGGTCTCAAAAGGCTATATAGTGTTTCCAAGAAATGATAAAACATTTTCACTTACAAAAAAATGGAGTTAAGATAAATTCAGACAAACAAGTGATACGTTGTTCTTAACTGAGCAAGACAAGACTAGACAGGTTATTGACGACCAGGGTTTATTCTTTAGTATGCTGCACAGGATAAGTCTTCCAGGTCTCTGAATCGACTCCTTATATGGCATGGATTTCTTGTACGCTATAGGAAGATATCATCGTTTTCTGTTAACCATGATAAATCTAATCACTTACAAACACTTCATGCACTAGGGGATATTACTGTTAGCATGGGAAGGCATGAAAACACTAAGTGTTGACGAAATTTCGATTTTTCTGTCACTCACGCTACTAAATACCGTCACTTATGAAAGTAGCTGAAAAGCATTGACTTCTATGGCAGGAAGGCCACAAACACCTGCGCTTACAAAACTAATAAGGTCGGTTTCGTGAGCAGTTGTCACTTGATCACAGCATTATTGAATAAAATAATCGTTATTTTTTACTGAAAACTGTGTGGGGAAATTCGCCTTTTATGACAGTTTTTTGGCATGCAGGTCAACTTGTTAAACTAATCTATATTTTTTCTCGTCAACCCTTTACTCATATTACATTTTTAAAAGGTGTGAAAATGATTATTTCTGACATTATTTGAAACAGCAAGCTTTCATGCCGAATTCATTGCCATATCAATGAGCTTCAGTTATTAGGTTTATCAAATATGTCATCCATTCACTGCAGATGCAAGCAGGATAATGTGGCAGCGATATGCTCAGGTGTAGTGACGATTTCACATCATTCACCCATGGCTTTCTCCAATAGACAGTTTGGTAAAATATTTACAAACTCAAACATCACTGATGATATATAGAGACATGTTCAATACCTGAAATGAAGGCTTACGCTCGACTCCTAACTGAGTCCAGTGTATGGAATTCTGGAAAGGTTCGAGCCAAAGTAAACAAGTTGTCCATTGCTCCTTGGTTTCTATGACTTTTTATTTGATTTTGGTCTGCGATAAAACCATCTTGATATTATTCAATCCCCAACAAATTGTTTCAACGAATCAAATATGTGTGGATAATCATTTGTATGGCTAAAGACGCGAATTCACTTAACAAATTACAGCCTAGTGGAAGGATATGGGTTGATGGGTCACTTTTTGTCATTTTATCGTCAAAATATCAGCATAAAAAGCTTGCGAATACGTTACGGTCCGTTCACTATTTCCTACGATGCGATGACAGTCAGACATACGGCCTGATTTTAATGTACAGGTGATGTTATAAAAAGTTTCTTTCCAAGTTGAGTGGTAATCTTTATCAAGAATAGTTTCAAATAGAGATAAGATAGTCTTCGGTTTTCTTATAACCATTTTATCGCTTCTTAACGTGAAGACACTTGTAAAGTAAAAATTGAGAATGCGTAGGGCATATTAGTTACATTGGACATAGTTCACTTAAGTCATCGTAATGATACTTGTAATTTCCAGTTGCTATACAGGGCCGAATTTCTCAACCTCTGTTGATAGATGAGCTCCTATGCAGATGTGTCAGTGCTGCTGGATGTTCTTGATGTTATACTGATCCTGGTGACTAGCAGAGGAATACAGAACTCGCGTTTCGTCCTATTTGGGATTCATCAGCCCGATGTACTTGCACCTCAGTAAGTGACGTAGCTCTCACTGAGGCTGGAACCTAGTAACCCTAGCTTCAAACACCAGAGCGTTATCCACTTAGCCACTGAGGAACGATAGCAACCTCTTGTGCAACGGGCGTCACTTGTTGTAATGATACTGGTAATTTCCCGTTGCAAGTACGTCAAGCTGACGAGTCCCAAATAGGACGAAATGCGCATCTTGTATTCTTCCGCTAGTCACCAAGATCAATATTACCTTGGTTATCTTCCACCTACTACTTCCCTATATAGAAATTAAAAAAATGAACGCAGGAACGAAAAGACATCCTAATTACCACAAATTCTAACTTTTAAGGAATGTACACAACAGCAAAATTGATTTTGCAACTCAGTGAATACCATGTACATACAAACGCTAAGTTGTAGGCCGCAGGTATCACTTGAAATCAAACTATGTTGCATCACTTACTGAACCGTGGCTTTTCGAAAGGGTTTCTAAGTAGCGCCTAACATTCAGAAGCATTCATTTTATTACATTTTTGTAGCATTCAGTGGTATTACCTCAAAATCTCGTTCAGCGGAATAATAACAGTTGTTAACGTTTGCGACTTTTATTTAGTAATTCAGTCGACAAGATAATCATCTATAACCTATCGTGTAGGAATTTTACTATCATCATCCAACTGAAGTCACAACAGATGAAATGTTACAAAGTAACTAATTCTCTTACTATTAAAAGCACAAATCTGTGAAAAGGGTACGAATAAATGAAACTGAAGACTTGAAATTTATGATAGAGAGAGTATATTAACCTGCTTTATACAATACCAGACATCTTAGACATCAATTACTTCTTTATTTAGCATTCGAAATAGCAAAAGAAAAACACTCCTAATGTCAGTGTACCAATGTAGCAATAAGTAACACAGTAAACCTTCCTAACACAACTAAACAAAAATCTACTTTGTAAAATCAAGAAGATCCAGTACACTACGAACAGTCAATGCCATTGACGTCATCGAGGTATATCTTTCAGTAAATCTTTCATTCAGTTGTACTAAGTAGGTTCAATTCATTAAAACTGGCCCTAATTTTGAGTCTGGTTGGATTTTCGTTATATTTTATTTGCTTTATAGAAGTCTGTTTTAAACACTGTTACTTACTTGTAAATCAACAACAAAATTGCTGTCGAATTTCAGGTACTGACAAGCCAGTGGATCGTTTTCTTCTTCTGCATAATCCTTCAGACAAAAAAGATAACAACATATGCTTGTTACAGTAATTTACAAAGTGTCCCAAAATTGTGAAAATACAGAGAATTTTAAAGTTTGGACTGAAATTGTGGTAACCATAAGTGCATAGAAAATTTACACACCTTCAATGAAAGCTTTTCGGAGATAGGCAAGTGGGTCCCCAACTGTTTTTCTGTACAATAACCAGTATTCTGGTTATCTTTTTCGGTTGTTTGGAGGACAACACAAAGTTTATCCATGCTTGTGAGTGAAACCGTGAAGCACAAAATGAAACCAAGTATGGTAGGGAGCGTTTAAGCAAGAAGTCAATTGACATATTGCCTCATCAGTTATTGTTCAGATAGTGAAGGGAATGATGATTCGACACTGACAACCATGGTTACCTTTTACACTAAATAAAATTCATTGGCTAGAATGTTCCCGAAACTTATTTTAGTAATAACTGTTCTGATTGATTCAACATCATAGCATAATCTCTTCTAACTGACTTTTGCCTTACAAAATAAACATTTGTCACTAAGTAAAAATGTGAGGAATTTTTCGTTACCTTTTTCCACATAGATAGTAATATCAAAAGTTTATATTGAAGGCTTTGAAGCATAAGTATTCATGCAACTTGAAAGTGCTTCACTTCATCACATAGCTAAATACTGATCAGGTTCCGTAGTCTGATGATGAAACTTTCAAGAACAAATCTTGAAGTTTAGAGAACACTAACCAATTAGTTTCAGGCAGGTTATACACCATAAAAAGGCATCACTTAAGTGAGATTATTTGCTGAAAATAATGATGACTTTGAAGAACTTTATAAAAATGTGATTTATCGAAAGAGTTGAAAAATGATCATACGGTCAATCGATCAGCGGATCAAAAGATGAATTTTCTGATGCACAACCCTTAGAATAACGGTAGTATGTTGAATGCGCACAGATGATGGTAACTAAAAATCTTATCCCTTTTTAGTTATTTATCATGGATTGCATCCTTCTTTTTGAAATTGCAGTACTAATAAACGCTCACATTCGCTGCCATTAACATTTCATTAAGATTTAGGCTTTCAACTTACAGAAGATCTATATGACATTTTGTCGTATGTCATACAGTACAATTTCCAGTTGTAGCAAACAAATGTAACGTCACTTAATGGAACAAATAGTGTATCATTTTCCAAGGCAGAAAGATGAGTTGAAACCATCCAAGAAGCGACAGACGGAACAAAGAAATATGAAGCCTTATACTAAAAGTGTTTCGAGTTTTCAAAACGATGAAGAACTTCATTTGGGTCACTAAGTGCAGTAATATGAATCGACGATGTCTATAAATAGCAATCATTTGAAGTATTTAAAGGAAAGAACTGTAGTTGTCAGTGAAACAGTATAAACCAGCATTAACTGGTTGAGCAAAAATAAAAACTGTAGTTGAATTTAATCCAGTTTTACACAGATAAGATAGGTAATGATCAGAGATGCATTTAGACGAAAATACAGCTTCCAAGATTGTAAGAAATCTCTTTTGTTTCTCGAGATAGTTTACAGTTTCATGAGAATCAATTTTGCGAAAGGCTGATAGATGTGCTTCACATACCTAGTCACCATAGTTTGCAGCCTGTAATGTTCATCGAATTAGGTTCTCACCAGAAAACGTTAAAGACGATTACGCTAAAACCTGATATCAGTCATCAATGTCTTTGAATTTGCATCCTGGCTGGGTAGGGTAATACAGACTTCTCAGCTAGATTCCACGTGACAGCTGAAAGCGATGGTTACACACTGCGAATGATTTGGTTCTGAATCAATCCCAGACGTACTAATGAACTCATACATTATTTTCATCTTGTTCGTCATATCATATCGTGTCATTTATTTCACCCACTTTCTTCTTCCTTCTCTCCGTATGATTTCCTAGGACCTTGATAATATTTCTATTTTTCGTTCCTCTTCTTGCTACCTTAATATACTGAGGTGAGTTGTGCCAGCACTGACTGTAACCCATTACTGCTGGTCACAACGGTGATATGGACTACCTGACATTTTGCATTAAGGTAATGTGATTTCACTTTTCGTAACCGAAAACAATTCGGCATGTTTAGAATATAAAGCACTAAATAAATATTTTCTCTGCTGAAATACTTGATGCTTTCTGCTTTCTACCGTAGACACTAACCAACACAAAGTGTATGCATTTCAAAAAATGTCTTTTTCTCTACCTACTGTTCATCTCGTGTAACTACGGAAAGTTGTCTACTAGGTTCCTAGCCAAAACTGTAAACCTTCTATATATTGTGTCTGAAATGTCACCACGAATTACAACTATCCAAAACTTAATTATAGTTAGTCATCACTTTAGTGGATATTGTTTGTGAATTCGAGGCAATAGATTTTGACTCAAAGGGGTACAGAAATATCTATGGATGTTCATATCAGACAAAGCAGCAGCCCTAAATTTATGAATGTACTAACCGTTCATAGTGATACGTAATATTTTTCATCTCGAAGAAAGCATTGAAAAATGATAGTCAGTGTACCAGATTATCTACTCAGAATTAAACACGGAGGAAATCATATAGGTGACTTGAACTTATTTTGGGTTAAATGGATTCGGCTATGCAATAAATACTATCCATATTTTTATTTAGTCCCAACCCTTAGATTATAGTTTTTACTGAAATGAAAATATTACAGGTAAATAAACACGTTGCGTGCTTAAAATAATTTAGAATCACTGAGCTCAATCTTCAATGTTTGATTTCAATTTGAACAGGTTTAAAAAAATTTCACCAGGCTATACTACCAGTTTATGTTTTGAATTCACAACCCCTCTTCAATCCACACACAGTACCAATCCCCATTAAGACAGAAAATAAAGATTTCAGCGAAGCACTTTTATCTTTGCTACGATTTCATTTTCAGCAGTGTTGAATTCGATGTGCATCTGCAAGTTCGCCCGCTCTTGCGGAACTAAGTACATAGGGCTTTCATCGAGAAACATTCCGTGTCCCGTTCGAGTGCACCTTCCAGTATAAGCAAAGAGAAGCGTAAATTCATAAATTTATCAATTCTCCAATATGTAGTTGACTATAACCATGCAGCCTCTGAATCGTCATTTAACATTATTTACAAAGCCAAGTCAAACTTATCGAAAGGTGCAGGCATATGGATACTCTGTATCGCAAAAGCCTTGATCTTATATGATCTGAAAACAAAGGTATGCACACAAAAACAGTTTTATGATGTTAGTTGAATGGGGGAAATCAGAAGAAAGCCCCGCATCTAGGTTTTTTGCAAGTCGTGTCTGCAACCCAGTACCTTAGTCAAAGACGGTACCACTGAGCTATTTGGGCCACGACTGACCTTCTGTAGGACTGGATTAGGAACACCGATTGGTCACTGGAGGGTAACCAAGATTATATTGTCTAGTCGTGAGTGCAGATCGAATTCTATCGATCATTTTGCAGTGTGGCCACCAGGCTAATTGACTCAGCATCAGGATGCAGTTTGATAGTTATTGGTTGAATGGAGGCAATCAGCAGGAAGCCCTGGACCTAAGTTTCATGCTTATTGGTACGCGTCAGCAAGGCGTATCTGCAGCCTCTACGGAAATGACGTCCCACCTGAGACTCGAACCCGCGTCACCCAGTTCGTATGATCCCTTTAACTATCCTGGTCTTAGATTACTATTATGACCTTATGTTTCATACAACTAGGTCTTCATTATTGTATTACCTTTAATTTGTTTATTCTATTTCCATCCATTTTATTTTCTGGTAACAATTTCCCTTCTCTTGATCAGTATCATATCACACTTTGTCTGACTGATATTCTCATTCGTTGTTTCATATAATCTCCACTCAACTTCCTTTAAGGGAAACCATAACATATTCATTCCCTCATTCGCATCGTCCTATCACCATTAGTCTCCTGTATTTTTCGAAGTGATTTGGTTATTCGTAGAACATTATCTTCAATCACATTACTGCACTTTACGATTCCACTTATTGTAAAGATGAAACATGCACACAAACAAATTTGTTCTTGTGTACTTCAACTTATTTGTATATATAGAAATTAAAATCGTCGCAAAGAGAAATTTTCTTCTCTGAAATCTCTGTTTAGTGTTTATCTTATAACTTGTTAGTAACATTCATAGAAAAAAAGTATTTCAAAACGGCAAACAATTAGATTTCATAGTACTTTTGCTTTCATCCAAGTTTAGAGTGCAAACATGTCAAATGCACTCAGTTGACATTTCTAACTATGGTGAATCCAGTTACTGTCTTCGTTTCATAATAAAATGTAATCAGTTCGAACTAATTTTACGAATGAACATATAGGTAGAAGATCACTTGGGTGATAGAAATACTTGTCTTCACTAAAACAGCAATAATGTTACAAACCACAGAATGTAGAAATTCATAACAGACAATTTTTTTTCACTCTTTTAAGCTGATTAGGTCTGAAAAAGAAATTGTTATTTGTTTCACAGGAGTATAATTTTGGAGGTACTGCCTTATCTAAGTTGAATGATTTAACTTCATTTTAGCGGATTTATTAAGTATATCATATAGTTGGACAGTATTATTTACTGGATTACGTTCCGCACACACTTTATTATCCATTGTTATATCAAGATAACTCGACGGTTTATACAGCTCTATTTTTCTCGTCTCCTTTGTGATATGGGTAGCATGATCTTCCATATATCCGGAGCAGGTGCTGAGTAATTCATGTTGCATGTATTACATGTTCATACGATAAAAAAAGATTCGGTTGTCAGATCCTTAAAACAAACCTTTTGGGGTACAGGGAGAGATTGATAACCGAATTTTTGTTTATGGAATCAACACCTGATACATGCAACAGGAACGACTCAGCACCTGTCTTGGATATACGAAAAATTCTACTACGTACATCGTAAAGGAGGCGAGAAAATTAGAACTATATAAACCGTTGAATTATCCTGATGTGTCTATGGATAATAAATTGTATGTG